CCCCAAAACCCCAAAACCCCAAAACCCCAAAACCCCAGTTAGCTAGAATCTTAATTATTTGAAGAAATTAACAACTAATTAATTTACAATATATTTATCTTTAGTGAGCAGTTTTATTTTTTACTTTATTAGACATCTGGGTGTTTATCAAATAAGATCGTCAAGTTGTGAATCATTCATTAAGGTATCTTTCAAGTTTACTCTAAGAGTCTCATCTTTAAAATACTTATCTTTGTGATAAATTTACTAAGACAAATCTAATTCCTCTTCAATATCATCAGGCAATTCAAACTATAGACTTATTTTACCGGATTCTTCAAGTGAATTTTTTATACCATGAGCATTAATATTAACTTAGTAATGTTAATTCTGGTAGTATTTAAATCCAATATCTTTAGTCTAAGAGAACTTACTGGTATCCTCTAAGTTATTATCTCTGATTTCAAAAGCCATTTCATCATTTTCACTTTGGGCATTCTAAAATATGTACTGGTTGATTCTATTTTCTGGGTTCTAAGTAAAATTAAGTTCATCGTATTCATGGATATCTTAAGCCGACTTGCATTCTTCTATTGATTAGTAATGCTGAAATTCCACACTTACATTTTTACTATCCTCAGGTCCTAGATTAATGCAAATCAATGGATTAAGTCTAAGATCAATTAAGCATTTTACTGGTATGCATAGTTACTTCTATGCGATTAGATATTTATCCTATTGTTTAATACTCCCCTTTTTGCACTTAAATTGCTTCTCTTTTATCTAATTGAAGTTTAACTGGTAAACTTTGAGCCCGATAATTCTACACAGATGACATCTAAAGTTATATATTTTTTAATTTTTGAAGGAAGTGAACTAGTTTTTCTTCACCACATCTTAAATTATCCTTTAACAGCATTCAAAGCAAACTCCACCATGTCCACATGGAGATATAACAGAATCTGATTAAGCAGAAAAGCAAATCATGCAGTCAACGTTTTAAATGGAGCTTTTCAAGCTTTCTACTTCATTCGGTACATCTTCATAGCTTTAAAGATATTGTGGCAATTTATTCGTCTCTCTAAACGTGTTTCTTTATTTTTTAGTTGTACTAAGTATATCTTTTTCTGCTTTTTTAAAGAATAATTCATCGAAATATTCCTCAGTTGCTAGCCTTTTTTGTGCTAAAATTTTTTTACTAGGTTTTTTTGAACCACTATTTGGAGTCAATTCGTTCTTTTTGTTAAGTTTATCAGCTTTAATTGTCTCATCTTGTTTTGTAATTCTTTCGTTAGTAATTTTGGTATTTGTATTGTTATTTTTCTAGTTTATTTCTGTTGTAATCTATGTAGTGTTAATTCTCCTTCTTTTCTTAAATAGGAAACTTTTGAGATAATCAGTATATTTGTGAGCACTCATAAAATATGAGTTCGATATTTTCATGAAGAATTTAGGTACTTTATTTACCTCGGGATCAGCCATAATTTTTTCTAGTTCTTGTTGATATAACTCATTTTCATTTACCTCATTCTATGAATCTCTTTAATCATTAGGATTAGGATTTTACGGCGCTCCATCTCTATTTAATGAGACTAGTTAAGAGCTGAGTTTTCTAAGATTAATTATGTATTCATGATGAAGAACATCTTAATCTGAGTTTATCATTAATTCAGCCATCCAAACTCTAAGAGAGCAATATCATTTGAATCTATGCTTACTTTAATTAGTCGAAAAATGCGATAGTCAAGGCTATGATTCCAAATAAATATAGCAAAATTAGTTCTCCTCGGTTGTTAACAATATTAGCATCCTCTTAACCACTTTCTTTCTTTAACTCACTTAATTAGGTTATGTTTCTAAGCAGCAAAAATAAAATGAGCAATCCTGGTACTGAGATATAGAGAAACCAAATACTGATTTTTACTATCTAATTTAAAGAAATAAAATTACCTTCACTAGAATATCCAGTAGTACTCTGTCTACTCGCTCCACTAATCATACTCATCCCATCAATACTAGAATTACTACTTCTATCGTTAAACTAAGCACTTTATTAAGCAGCTGCTTATAGATTGTTTTAAATTGCATTAAGTTAATGATTCAAGTTTAAATTTCTTGATCTCTTGCTTTGATTGCAGCAAATTTAGATGAAGCAATTAACCAGTACTACAAATGAAACTATGCTTATCAGAAGGAATTCTGTCATGAAAAAGTAAACAGGGGCTGCCATTGAATCCCAAGAAACATCTTGAAAAGCAAGTTCCTCAAGCTTTATAGTTGAAAGTATAACAATGATAATTATAGTAGTGATGTTAGCATTGAATATAAACCTGAGAATTATAAAAACTGAGAGTTTCCATTTTCTGCAAGTTCTTAGGACGAATTTCTGGATAAAGCATAAAATTAGAAAGAATCCACCAATTGTATAGAAGTACTTCTTAAAAAATCCTATTGCTATAAGAGCCTAAAAATTAAAAATAAAAAATTTTACAAGTGCATTTAGTAAAAATATAAGTGTAATGACTGTTCTTTTCAACTAATATATTTAGGTATATTCAAGCTTACTTCTCTATAAGTGATTCAATTGGGAAATAACTTTTACCTCATTTTTCAGGATTATTTACTTAAGGCAATAAATTATCTTGAATATTGTGTATGTAAATAGAATAGTTATCGGACAAAACTTAGGTATTTCTTTTAAAAATTTCTGCAAATAAATGACTAATACACATATAAGAGCCATTGTTGAGACCTCTAGAATAAGAATGAGGAAATTTTTGGATTTAAAATTAGCAATCTTAGCTCTAAACTGCAACTCAGGCATAATATTATTTCCCCAGAGACTAAGGTTTTAAATTTCATTTTCATTCTATTCATTTTATAGTTATTAATTCTCTTACTATTAGCCAGGTTATTACTCAAACCTAACCTATTGGTGAACAACATTTTACTAGATTATTCCTTATTATCTAGGGGAGGGTTAATTTATTTGCAAATCATTAATGTTTATGGGTGATTGACTATTCTCAGAAAGGAAATGCTCGTGAGTATTCAAATTTCATCTTCTTTGAGATTATTATTGTTATATTTGGCTAGTTTATATTTAATGTAATGGCTACTATGGTAAATTTAAGGGAGGGACTATCCTGTTTTAGCCATTTCTTAGAATAGATTATTGAGTTTATCTCTAATTAATTTATGAAGTCTACTGAGGTTATTATCTATCATTGATTACATCTCTAATACCTCAAAAGCCTTGGTAAGTTAGCTAAGAACTTGATGAGGAACTACTGCTTATATCATCATTGAGGCTTGAACCTGATAAATAACGATTGCCTATCCTTGCTTATTACCTTAATCAATTTATATTTCTGTTCTGATTGATATTAGCTGCTCCTTGCCTGATTCCTTAAGTCATATTTCTATTGTTGGCATTTATCATTTATTATCTATTCATGTTAAATTTTGAATTATAATACAACATTTTTAGCTTGAATCTAATTTTGATATTTTCAAAGATATTTTATTTTAAAACAATTAGCTCTGCGGGGTTTTGGGGTTTTGGGG